AATTAAATTCATTCTATAGTACAATCCGTACGATGTTTGTTTATAGGCATAGAACTCCAAGAAGACCTATGCGTCACTTTATTGGAATTAACCGCATTCGACTGCCGAGGCGTTCACCGTAGCAACTTACAGTGCATACTGTATTTTGCAATTACGAAGGCGTGTTCCTTCGATTCTTTTCTTGGAATCCTATCTTAACAAATATTGTACGGACTGTGTAGGTTAATACATGTAAAGCTTTTTTACTACTAGCAAAGTACGCAAATTTATTTATTTTTATTTATACCTACCTGTTTATTTATTTGTATACGTCGAACAGGCCTATGCCTAGCCGACGAAAACCCCGAGCTTTATTCATTTCAACAGCCGGAAAAAAATTATATATGTACACTTTTTATTTAGCGAGTAACTGAGATGAGTTAAAATTATGTGAAAGCATGTTGATTCTTCAACCAACTTTAATTCAAAAATCGCTATTGTGGTATGTATGATTCCAAGACTTTCAAATGACAACTCAAATATAAACGCTCCAATAATTTTATTAACCCATACATAATCCACAGCTAGAACAAAACCGATCCAGCTGATTATTTCAATTAAAAATTTTTAATGTGGAATTATAAAAAATCTGGTTCACCTAACCGAACAAGATACCACGTAAGATAAGATATAACTTAAGGAGCGTGAATGAATAACTGTATTGCACCTTGTGCCAGGTCTAATTAAAATCAGTAATTACCATAATCATTTAAAATTTGAGATTGGTTACTTATGTAGAAGGTAGATATCCTGTAATAATTTTCTGAAAATAATCAAAAACTGTTTTTCGTGTTATATCTACACATGTGTACCACTTCGTACCTCTTTAATTTCTGTGAATACATCTGACATTGTAATTAGAAGCACTTAATTTTCAGCATTTAGTGATATGACAAATGTAATTAATAATGTTACTATGTAAACTTTAAATACCGTACATTGTGAAATATTTATAAAGAAGGCATTGAATACATAATGATAACTATAGAAATAATATATTCTAAAAAAGACGTGTCTGAACTTGTCAGGTATTCCCAGAATAATAATACTGTTTAATATACAGGGTGATTCTCAAATGGTGACCAAAAATGAAACCTCGTTTTCTTTGGTGAATATTAAGGGGAGTCTTTGCTATAAAGTTTTTATCTAGAACGCTTCGTTAACAAGATACAAGTTGTTGAACTTCAAAAAATATTTTTAATTGTTTTAAATAATTGAAAAATAGTAAGTAAAATAATTTGAAATTGGGCGCTTGTATTTATGTAAACATTGTCCAAAATCTGGTGGCTATATTTTTCTAAATATTTTAGTACGCCACTGCTACTGTCTACGCTATGTTTTTCGAAAAGAGCCTGATTTTCGAGTAAAACTTAAAAACGAACTGGGAACACACTTCGATATTCGAATATAATGCTTTTTAAAATTGCACAGTGGGCTGCGACAGCAACTTTGACACTCTGAGCAGTTGCAAGAAAGAATAAATAATGCCTTTCATCAGATTCAGGCAACAATAAATTTCGAACAAATTACATTTTCGTTACTAAAAAGATGTCGGGCCTGTGTTGGTGGAAATGGAGGTATTTTCAGCATTTACTCAAAAGAATCATTAAAATGATGACTGTTTCTTTATTCGAATAAATAACCGTATGATTAGTATTAGTGCTTGTCATGTCATTTAACTAAAAGTGTTTTCAGTTCGTTTTTTTAAGTTTTCCTCGAAAATCAGGCTTTTTTCGAAAAACATAGAGTAGTAATTTGTAGAAAATTGAATTACGTATCCGGAAATATCATGGTTGTTACTGTAAAGCAGTGGCGTACTATTTTATTTAGAAAAATATGCCAGCAATACCATGTACCTTCGCCACTGGAGCATGTAAATTTTAGGAAAAGCCCTCATATTTTCTACAATGTTTACATAAATACTGGGCACATGTATTTCAAATTATTTCATTTACTAGTTTTTAAAATATTTTAAAAAATTAAAAATATTTTTTGAAGTTTAACACCCTGTATCTTTTTAACGAAGCGTCCTAGATAAAAACTTTATAGGAAAGACTCACCTTAAAATTCACCAAAGAATACGAGATTTCATTTTTGGTCACCATTTATGAATCCCCCNAAGGAGTCTTACCTATAAAGTTTTTATCTTCGTTAAAAAGATACAAGGTGTTAAACTTATTAAAATATTTTTAATTTTTTTAAATCACAGACCAACAAAATTTAACTTTTTTTGGAAGCAGACACTTGAATATATATTTCCGATGGATTTAGGTGCGCTGAATCCGAATCTGGCAGCAGAATTGCTTTATCACGTCAGGTTTTTGAGATATCCTAACCTAAAAGTGTAAAAAACACCGTTTTTTGTCATATTTGAGGTTATGTGGTAATGCCATCTATTCTTTTTCAAAAAAGTAATACATTGAATCTAAAAGTACAAGGCTCCCTCCTTCGAATGCCGTTGAGTTTGTTCAAATATATATATTTTTTCGTCGAGATATCACATGTTGAAATTTTTAAGTTTCTCTTTCTTAATATGCGAAAATCTACTAAGGATCCCTTAGACATCAAGCAGTCGTCGATTGCAATTCAGAAACTTCATACCAATACGGTTTGTGAGATTGGAGTTGGTGGGCTTGGGGTTTGTAAGCTTGGAATTTGTAGGTTCGGGTTTTGTAGGATTGGGGTTTGTGGGTTTAGGGAATGTGGGTTTGTGGATTTGGAGTATGTGAGTTTGAGTTCGTATGTATTGAATGTTTCTGAGTATGAAGTTTCTGAACTGCAATCAACTGTTTGACGTCTAAGTGATCCTTAGTAGATTTTCGCATACCTGTTAAGAAACTGATAAACTTAGAAATTTCAACATGTGATATCTCAACGAAAAAAAGATACTTGAGCAAACTCAACGGCATTCGAAAGAGGGAGCTTTGTACTTTTAAATTATATGTATTTTTTTTTAAACGAATAGATGGCATTACTACATAACCTCAAATATGACGTAAAAAAGTGTTTTTTGCACTTTTAGGTTAGGATATCTCAAAAAACTGATGTGATAGAGCAATTCTGCGGCCAGATTCGGATTCAGCGCACCAAAATCCTTCGAGATTGCATATTAGTGTATCTGCTTCTTGACCCTTGTTGACCTGTGAATTTAAGTTTCAGTTCGTTTTTTAAATTTTATTCGAAGATCAGGCTTTTTTCGAAAACATAAAAGCGTAGTAATTTGTAGAAAATTGAAAGACGAATCCGAAAATATCATGGTTGTTACCGTAAAGCAGTGGCGTACTGTTTTGTTTAGAAAAATATGCCACCGATACCCTGTATCTCCGCCACTGGAGCATGTAAATTTTAAAAAAGCCCTCAGATTAATAATATTTACATAAATACATGCGCCCAATTTCAAATTATTTCACTTATTACTAGTCCAGTCACTGAAGGCGAAAGTAAGGTAAAAGCTCCCAATTCTTTCGGATAGAATGGATTTTCCTGAAAATTTGCATACAAGCTCATCTGACCCCCCACTTCAAAAGTTATATTGTCTAGATGTGTGCTTTTTTCTATTTGGGGGTAAAAACTACCCTTGTACGAAAAAAATGCGAAAATCGCAGATTCACGTATTTTAAAGATTCAATTCATGTTCAAATATGTTGGATAAAGTTCCTTTCATGGTTTTTATTATAATTTATGAAATTTAATTACTTTTTAACCCTTAAAAATTCTTAAAAGCTATCCTTCCATGGCCAAAAAAATAGAAAAAAAGTTTTTAACAGTTTTAAATATTCTTTTGGTGCATTCACAATGTATTGCATTTCTTTTGTTATTCATTAGAAAGCTTACGACTATGTACAAAGTTGCAAAAATTGGAAAATTTTATTCAAAAGTAAATTAAATATTTTTTTAAATTTAGGCTTATAAAATCGTTCAAATCCCCAGAATCTACTGTTAATACATAGAAAAAGTAAACTGCAGAAGGAATACGTTTAATTTTTTTTCCGTCAAGTCATTAATTTTAATACCGATTTTTTTTTTTCAAAAATCAAGACAATCGTTTTATTTTGATTGTAACTTCATTAGTTTTCATGCTAACGATGTTTACTCAATTTGAAGGTCTTTTCAAGAACTATAAGTTTTCCTCGAAAAACCTTTAATTTTTCCGCTACAGGACGTTGAACGTTTCGATTATAGCTATCTTCGAAACTGACTTCAACTTCTGGGTGTCATAACTCGGGTTCTATGCCACATACAAAAATAAAAAAAGCAATCTCTGATTTAATTATCATTTTTGCTTATAATCATTTTTTTGATAAAACTTGAGTTTTATCAAAAACTAGTTTCTGAGATATTCGGGAAAAATGGCTCCAAAACATGCATTTTTGGGCTAAAAACGAATATATTTAGACGCAAATAACTCAAAAAGTATTGACTGTACAAGAATTCTTATAGAACATTTTTTGCTTAGAATTCGTCCCTCTATCGAATCGTGAGGTTATTTTTAATTAAAAAATTCCCACCCTTCAGAAGGGGTGACATCCACCCCTAGAGTAAAAGCAGACATCGGCACTATATAACTTTTGTTTCTTGGGCTATTCCCTAGCTACAGTTCAAATTTCACGTTCCATTCGAAAAAATTGGTAGCAAAAATGCTTCAGTGACTGGACTATACTAGTTCTTAAATTATTTAAAGAAATTAAAAATATTTTTTAAAGATTAACACCCTGTATCTTTTTAACGAAGCGTCCTAGATAAAAACTTTATGAGAAAGACTCACCTTAAAATTCACCAAAGAATACGAGATTTCATTTTTGGTCACCATTTATGAATTCCCCTGTATTTAATAATAATTATATGTATAATAACAATAATATTTAATTAAGCTGATTTGGTTATAATCATGATAGTCGTTGTGAATTCTGTTGTCATGTAAAATGAAAGTAATCAAACTAATATTATTTGATCTTTTACAGGATGATATATCGGCCAATGGTATTGCCAATGGGACCACTGATGTAGCATTTAGAAAAATTAACAAGAACTCCGCAGCTTTTTTGATATGGAAGATAGAGGTAAGTAAAATTTCTCTGAAAACTGAAAAATATTGAAATTTCGCAAAAACAGATATTCAATAATAAACTGAAAATTTCTAGAAAAGAAAAGTATTTAGTTTCTTGTTAAATTTCGCGAACTTTGATTCATGTTTTATCATGGCCCACGTTGTACAATATATCAAATTTTGCTTTCATGGAAAATAATTGGAACAAGAAGAAATAACGGAATTATTAATAAAGTGAATTAATGATCTATAACCAAAACATATTATATTTTACCAAGGAAGCATTTTTAAGCTTTCATGCCCATTCAACCGTGGATGATCCTTATTTGATGATATTTTGAAACACAAGAACAGATTCTGCAATATTCATGTAATGATTTCCTTTGAAAGACTTGCAGTAATTCTACTTTATAAAAATGTAATCTTTCTGTCATAAAATGTAAGGCAAATTTGAATTAACACCAATTTTATGAAACTGTTACCTTGTTTTATTTAGACTCATTTGTACACTGAAATTCTTGAAAGATTGTTCTTATTTGTCACATAATTGATTTATTCTCTGGAAAAAAAGAAATATCCCACATAAACAAAATAAACTATTACTAAATCTCTTAGCACACCAGGTAGCAGTTCAATATACCGGTGACTCATTGCTGACCTAATTTTGTTACTTTACTACCTATACCAGAAAGTAAAACTGATGATCAGAATTACCAATAACCACAGAAGCAACAGTTGTTTAATTAGAGGTGAATATAGTAAATTGAGAAAACAAAATTTAATTTGTTTTTGTAGTAAGCATAATTACAATATATAGCATATACAAGCATAATTATGTATATACATTGAGTTTATTTTATGTTTAATAAGTATCTATAAATTTTTAAAACGTATATTTTTTCTTAGAGTAAAATTTTTAAAATTTTTAGTACAATCTAGTTTATCATAGATGGGAATTTTATAATAAGAATTATTTAACTACGAATTAAAGACTGTAAAATATTTCTGTTTCATTATTTCACCCTGCCATGCATTACAAAAAACACAGTACATGTTGCTTTTCCACTTGAATCATTGCCATTGGTGAAAATTGAAAAAACTTTTTATTTTTTCAATTTCCGAAAAAGTCACTTGTTAAAAATTATGCTTGTATTATTGTACAAATATGTATTTTTAAATGAACTAGTACATACGGGGTGTCTTCTACAAAAAAATGTTAGTAGGTGATTTTATCCTTAGGACTCATTAATATGCTTATCAATATTTTCTCAGTATTTAGTATGCACCTAAGAGGTGTCTCCAGACAGTCAACTATAAGTATTAGCAAAAATTTCGGCATGTCATTGTGTTCTAAGGATAAAATCAACTACTGGGAGTCCCACAGGGCTCAATTTTGGGTCTTGTGTTATTTTTATTATATATCAATGATATTGACACTATTTCAACTCACTTTACTATGTATGCCGATGATACATCTTTGGTTTTGTCGGATAAAATATTAATGCAAGATTGTCATATTTTATTACATAATTTGAATAAATAGTTTTCCCAGAATTCGTTATATCTTAGTGTTGCTAAAACTCCATTTTCATGCGAGTAGTGCTATTAATTGTAAAAACTTAAGTTTTGATATTAATGGTTTTCCGTTGACTAGTAATGATAATACTTACGTACAATTTCTAGGTTTATACTTAGATGAAAACCTCAATTGGAAATATCACTCTTAAAGTCTAATATCTAAATTGTCATCTGTTTCGAAATATCAGAACAGTTTTTCATATAGAACACCTTTTTTGTCTATATTACACCCAGGTTGAGTCTCTCAACCACTTCACTTATTATTGAGTCTGTTTTTGGGGTAATTCGGTATTAGCATCAAATGTTTTGATTGCACAAGCGAGTTTTTAGATGTATAATTATTTTATATAGGTGTTCAGTCGTGTGAAGGTATATTTAAACAATATAAGGTCCTTATTGTTCCACGTATTTATATTTTTGAAATATGTGCCTATGTTTTTAGGAATAAAAGCAGATTTATTTTAAATGATAAATATGACACTGTCAATACGAGACAGAAAGATAATTTTCATTTACCACTTGCAAGATTAAACTTGACATCTGTTTCGCCTAACTTCATAGGACCTAGAATATTCAATTACTTGTCTGTTGAAATTAAGTATGCTGTCAGTGAACATCTATTTAAAAGTAAGTTGAAACAATTTTTAGTAAGTATTATTACCCTATTTGTGAATTTGTATCTGATGTTTTGTAGTGTTTCGTATTTATTATTTATTTAATCATTGTATATTGTATATTTTACTTTATTTGTTTTTGACTATTCCTATACATATGTATGACGTCAAAAGGAACATAAATTATTATTATTTAAAATATTGTCTCTAAAACAGACCTGTGTAGAAGCCACTGCGGCAGCTTAGTAGTTTATTACTTTAATACAATGATATTTAAATTAAAATTTAAAGAGAATATAAACCAGGTATGAGTAAAAAATTATTCAATATGTAGTATAACAACCCCGGGTTTGATCGAAAAAATAAACGTAGTTGTGGCCAGAAATATGTGATCGTCATAAGAAATACCTACGTTGTATACATCTATTTTTTTTATAGACCGGAAGGCGCTGGCTACTAACTTTAAAGAGGGGAAGTATGGTTTAATTTTATAAAACAAAAGCAGAGTCAATACACTTAAATTTATTATTTATATACAACAGTCTTCAAATTAAACATGCGACAAATAGAAAGAACAACAAAAACATTAACAACCATTTAACATAAAATGAGAGTGCCAGGCTCACCTAAAGCTCCTGTGGGGAAAGAGCATGGCAGAGAAACCCACGATCGTTGCTCTAACTACCCAAATATAAATACAAAACAACCGC